CGGTCTATACTGGGCTGTGGCGTCCACCTCCTTCCGTTTTGGGCCCTGTCTCCCCAGCTGGGGGATGCTGTCTGCCTTCCACTGTCCCCTCAAAAACAAGCTGTGTCGTCGGTGGGTACTGGGTAAGCCTCACCAGGACCAGCTAATCCAGGTGAGGGCTCCCTGGAGTGGATCGGGTAGTGCTGGCGGACGGCCGGGTGGACACTCAAGCAGGCACGGGCGAGCTGAAGACCTGCCTTGTGACTCTGCCCACAAGGGGAGAGCTGCGCTGAGAGGGCTGCGTTCAGGGCAGGCCCAGGCCGGCTCTTTCCGTGGGGGGCTGTGAAGCAATGCAGTGATGTTTTAGAATTGGAGCGAATTGCTGATGCACTGGGGCTGGGTCTGAGAAAGGAGAAGCGGGATCGATCCTGATTTTGCAATGCTGATCTGCCTTCACTGAATGGGAAGGACTGGGAGGAGCAGGGGTTTTCTGGGTTTTTGTTTTTTGTTGGGGGAGGTGTTGCATTGGCAGAGAATCCATTTATCTATTACCTTAATTTATCTATTTATCAAGATTGGAAATCACATGTGAGAAAGAGTGGAGTTCCGATGGGGGAGGCTAGGTTTTGAGAGAGAATTTGAACCTCAGAGCGAAGGAGGCTCACTCCTGTGATCCTAGCACTCTGGGGCTGAGGCAGGAGGCGTGGCTTGGGAGGCCAGGAGTTAAGACCGCCTGAGCAATATAGTGAGACCTAAAATGGGAAAAATTAAGCTAGGCATACGGTCTTGTGCACTTGTATCAGCTATCGGGGCTGAGCAGGAGGATCACTGGAGGCCCAGGAGTTCGAAGATTGCAGTGAGTTCATGATTATACCACTGCACTCTAGCTGGTGGCAAAGTGAGACCATCTCAAAAAAAAAAAAAAAAAGAATTTGAGACCACTTTTTCATCATTGAACTGTCCAGCCCCCTGGAGATCTGTGCGCTGATGGGCATGTGTCGATTCCTCATGTGTGTGCTGGGCACTGGTAGGCATTCAATAAAAGGGCATTTGGGGCTGTGGTTAATGTATTATGATGCTCACTTTTTGGCCCCAGCCTTCCTCTTTCTTCTTCTTTTCTCTCTGTCTTCCCTCCTTTTCAACATCCTTGGTTGTTGGTCAGGGAAAGTATTCTGCTAAGAAGAGAGCCGCAAGTCCCCGTGTTGTTGGGGTGGGGTTCAATTTTTCTCTTCGTTGGAACATAGCTGGGCATCTCACCCTGAATGGCTGCCAGCGCTTTGGCAGTACGGACCCGAAGCGGAACGGGCTCCAGCAGCTAGAGGATGGCAGACCCTCAGCCCAGCATGTCATCCTGGTGGTCCCAAGCTGGGGGTCCCTCCCTCTCTTGAAATGCCTCATCCCAGATCCTAGGCAAGGCGTAGCCTTGTAGGTAATCGACAGTTCCCACAGTCTAACCTCAGGTCCAGGAGCCGGGACTCCTTGCCAGGCTGGGCAGGGGACAGAACCGTGTAGGGTGGTGGCAGGTTAGGGCTTGCAGGCAGCAACATCAAATGGGGAGGGGGCAGAGCGGGCCGATGGAAGCTCCCTTCCCCACGTTTCCTCTGATCTCCCACCAGCAACAGTCTTGTTTGTCATGGCGAGAGACTGGAACGTAAGGTCAAAGACTCTAAGGATTCTATCCTGCTTGTGCTGAAGCTTGGACTGACTTGCATAGTAGAGCAGATGGCCTTATGTCCTCTTCTGAGTCATGAAAGATAGGAGGTGGCGTGGGATGGGATGCTGGCTGGCTTCCTGTGGGAAGGGAGGTGCGGGTTGCTGGGATCCATCCCTGGCCAGCGCTCGAGCGTCTCTCTCTGCAGTGCACTGCCAGAAGATCGTCAAGAGAATCAAGCCCTCCACCTAACTCCTGTTGGGGATGGGGATGTGGAAGATTGTCCAGACTTCGGTGTCAGACCAGTTTGAGGGCAACGATGCTAGCTGTCCAGCGGCGGGACCACGGGATTCAATGGCCCCCGAGGCCATTCGATTTACTGGCAGAGCTTCAGGTGGGAAGGTACTTCAGGCCTGGGCCAGGTTGGGCTTCGGGCAAGGGTGGACAGCTTGCGAGGGCTAGTTGCAATCCTGAGCATGCAAGGGTCGTGTGTTAGGCCTTAGGAGTGACAATCTGCTCTTTCCTTGGAGCATGACAAACTTCCCACCTTTGGCTTCCTTTGTTTTCAGCAAAAATGGCCCAAATCTGCCCTGCAGGTTTTACTGCAGTTGCTGTTGCTGGTTCTGGAGCTGGGTATGGAACAGGCAGAGAGACTTCCAGCCCCTGCTTCTGCCCTTCTGGATGGTGAAAGGCAGGAGAGTTATTATTTTGGGGATTCAGGAGGCTCCCTCAGATCTTAGACATGGCAGGCTTGAACTTTGCCTTGAAGAGAGGGAGGATCTGAGCAGGAGCTAAAGCCAGAAACATACAAGAGAACTGAGGCAGGGGCAGAGTGTGGAGGGACTGGAAGTTTGGGCTTCCCACGGACAGGGGTTAGGTGAGCATTCTGAGCAAGGTACAGGGTCGAGGTGGTTTCCGGGCCCACGCCCTTCCTCGACGTGGAACAGCGCTGATTGCCCACTTGCACCCTGCAGTGAGGCTTTGGCGTGGCTGAGGGGCGTTTGCACCTGTGTGGGTTCGAGCCCAGAAGAGTCGGGACACAAAGTTATTATTTTTTTTAGATTGATTTAAAAATGTTTAGTTTTGATTACAATTCTAAAATTTACAGAAAAGTTGCAGACTATACAAAGAACATTCCATGTATCTTTTGGCCCAGATTCCAATTATCAACATTTTGTTCCATTTGCTTTTTCATCTCTTTCTATATTATGTGTTCATATTATATCCTCTCTGAGCATTCGGAAAGTTACAGTTGGAGACGCTATGGCCTTGTCACTCGATATATGTCAGTGGAATTCCTTAGACAGGATTCTCTCATAACCTCAGTGCAATGACACAGTCAGAATCTTATCATCGATAAGGGTGACATAATTCTACAGGCTATATTTCAACTTCCATCAGTTGTCCCAATAATGTCATTTATAATTTCTAGTCCAGATCCAATCTGGGTTCACTGCCACATTCACTGTCTTGTCGCTTTGGTGTCCTTTAATTGGAAAAATTCCTCGCCTTTCTTTGTCTTTCTGACCTTGTATTTTCTGAAGAGAACAAGCCTGGTTACTTGAGAGGTGTGTCGGTTCATTGTCTGGTGTTCCCTGGTGATCAGATGATCATCTGGGGCTAGATCGTAGGTGGAGATTCGAGAATCACTCATGTAAGAAGAAGAACAGCGAGAGGCGTGGGTCCTGGGGCGGGGATGGAGAGAGACCGTTAGAGCCAGGGTGTGGGGAGCCCGATTGTGCTTGGGAGCCTTGAGAGTCGTGGCACTGGCACGGGATGTGGGGACTGGACGGGGCTGCTTCCTGTGTCAGAAAGGTGGATTGTTAGAAGGGAAGACCCCCGAAGCCAGAGCCTAGTTTGTGAGTGTAAGTTTAATACATGCCATCATTCCTGCGTATGTCCATGGCATGGTGGCGGCAAATGTGACCTGTGGATAAAGGGGGCTTGCACTATTGCACCAGACATACCTGGTTTGGGTCTATCTCGAGGAGATTCAGGACCCTCGGAGAGCAGGGGACCATTTCTGGTCACCCTTTGTCCAGTGCTCGGCACAGGGCCAGCATGGAGCATGCCCTGGGATTTTGTTGAGTGAATCCATACATGATTGGAAGGAGGTTCCGCAGGGCCTCTCTCCACGCCCACCAGAGCTGGGTGGGCGGGGAGCGGGCCATCTATCGTCGGGACTGATGTGAGCGTGTTTTTTCTAGGCCCTGGACGTGTGGGCCACTGGAGTCAACTGTACTGCTTTGTCTACGGAAGGTGAGTGCGGGCGAGGCCAGCAGAGCTGGGGGCGCCCAGCCCCAGACCCAGACCCTTGAGCTGGACCAGTGAGCCAGGCCGTGGTGGCAGATGCAGGCCTTCTTTTGTGTCCACTTCCTTTGGAAGGGTGGCTTTTGAAAGAGCCCACCTGGCTCAGAGAAGGCTGAGGGAAGAGGGTTTTCTGTTTTCTCTGATCCCCTTGGGAGAGATTCATGTGGCGTCTCAGAACAGCAGAATCAAGAGGGGGTGCAGACGGTGATGTAGGCCCTCTCCAGCCAGAGTGCCCCTGTCCCACTGCCCTTGGTGCCATCTGTTTCATCCATCCATGCATTCACTCAATTGTTTGGTTTTTTTTTTTTGAGACAGAGTCTCGCTTTGTTGCCCAGGCTAGAGTGATGCGCGTTGGTGTCAGCCTAGCTCACGCAACCTCAGACTCCTGGGCTCAAGCGATTCTCCTGCCTCAGCCTCCTGAGTAGCTGGGACTACAGCCATGTGCCACCATGCCCGGTAATTTTTTCTATATTATAGTTGGGCCATTGATTTCTTCTGTTTATAGTAGAGACGGGTCTCGGCTCTTGCTCAGGCTGGTTTCGAACTCCTGACCTCGAGCAATCCACCCACCTCTGCCTCCCAGAGTGCTAGGATTACAGGCGTGAGCCACTGCTCCCGGCCTCAATTGCTCATTCATTCAACACATCGTCCTTTACTCCACCTCTGAGTCAGGCTGGACCTTGGGGACATCCAACACCGCCATGACCGAGATTCCGTGTGCAAGTGCCCCTACTCTAGTGACCGCACTGAGAGGCAGGAGGGAATCTCAGCGAACACGTTTCCAAACTCCAGGCCCTGGGAGTGGAGGCCTGGCTGCAGGTGGCTGTAACGCCTGCGGGTACACCCAGCCTCATAGCTCCCTCGGCGACTCATCCATTTGGCCAATGTTTGTTGAGCCCCTGTGGTGTGCCAGGCCCTGAACACGCCAGTGGAGGTCCTTCCTGCCTATTGGAGGGCCCAGCGCTGCTCCCCATGCCTGGCCCCCAGGGAATGAGGGCCAGTCCCCCAGCTCGGGTCAAGGCCCTAGGCCCACATCATTTGTGTGCCTGTCCCCCCGCAGTGCCCGTTCATCGACGACTACATCCTGGCCCTGCACAGGAAGATCAAGAATGAGGCTGTGGTGTTTCCTGAGGAGTGAGTTCCCACCTGGGGGGCCCCTGGGGCTACCACCCCTCCTGGGGAAGACGGTCCTGAATTATAGGAGAGCTTTTACCCTTTGAAGACCCCACCCCAGCCTGCAGACCTGGGGGGGAGTGCTGCTCTCTGGAGAGGGCCCCTGAGCAGGTAGAGGGGTGGGACTGGGGACCCAGGGTCTCTGAGATGTCCTTGTACAGATGGGAACTCAGAGACCCAGAGTTGGGCGGGATGACCCCAGGTCTCTCATCCAGACCACTCCTTCACTGCAGGCCTACATGGGGTCGGTGGCACCAGCCCGTCGCAGCTCCTGGACTCCCGGGGAACTTCCACGCGTCCCACGCGGGGTGGGGGGACCTTCAGGGTGCCAGCGTGCTCCCCATTTCACAGAGGGAAGGGTGGATGCTCGGAGGAGTTTTCAGTGGGGCTGGGATGTGGAGCCACTCTCTCCTTCCATTGTCGCTGGGGTCTCTGGGCCCAGGGAGACTGTCTGGGAGGGTCCCTGCTCACACTGTGCCAGCCTGGGCTCCCTGCTCCTCGTTTCTCAAGGCCCTCTACCCTCTGCTCAAGGACTAGAGCAGGTCAGAAACCGAAATGGGACTTGTTCTCGATGACTCCTGCTCTCTCGTGCCCACTTCCTGTCTGGTCCCCTTACCCTGTTGAGTCCACCTCTTACCTGTCCCTGGGGTCCATTGCCACCTGCAGCCCCTGCCCCGCATAGGCCTCAGGCCCTCTCCCCAGACTGGTCCAGCCGCCTCCTCTCTGGCCTCCCTCCAGTCCGGCCAACACGATCTGACTGTATCTCCTGCAGAAAGTTCACCTGAGGCTTCCCACAGCCCTGAGGACGGAGGCCCCGCCCTGGCCCTGGCATCCCAGGACCCTGCATTCTGCTACCCGCTCGTCTGCTGGCACAGCAGTCCCTTCCCCAAGCCCCAGCCAGCTGTCTTCCGTTTCCCACCTATCCTTTGCTTTCCTGTCTCTGTGCCTTTCCTCCTGCTGTCCTCCTGCCAGGGGTAGCTTTCTCCCCAGCCCAGGAGTTGTAAAAGGGATGAAGCATCTAAGACAGCAGAGAGACCAAAGTCAGCTGTCCCGAGGGGGGTTCCTCCCTCACAGGCTTGGACGCCTGGGCTGCCCAGTCCAGGTTGACATGGGCTGATTGTGGTGCTGCTTTCCCTTGCATCTCCCACCCCTGCCCGTGCTCTGCTGGGTGGCGCTATACCAACCTGCTAACCTCTCTGGGCCTCAGTTTCCTCCTCTGTCAAATGAGAGAGGATCTTTCCTGGCCACCTCCCAGGTGCAGGAAGGATAAGATGGTGAGTGGGAGTGCAGGCCCCTGGTGTCCCATAGAGACTCTTCTCACGGCGTTTTTACCATCTTTGCCACCCGGGGGCGGGGGTCCTGCACCCACGGAACTCCGTTTGTGTTTGTGGCTCCTGTCCTGCTGGGAGACAGGGAAGGATATCCCTGTCCTACTCAGGGAAGGATATCCACTTCCTTGTTCTGAAACTCCCTGAGGTTCTGAAACTCCCGGCACCTTAGGGATGTCCCTCCTGCTGTCTGGAGCTCTGTCTGTCCTCCCATCTGAGGATGAGGGGCAGTGTGTCTCTGGTCACAGGGTGGGGAGGAGAGGTGAGCAGGGAGGGGCCTTGTCAGCAGGCTCACTATCGGCTCTTTCCTTCCCCGTCTCTAGGCCGGAGGTCAGCAAGGAGCTCAAGGACCTAATTCTGAAGATGCTAGACAAGAATCCCGAAACACGAATTGGGGTGCCAGACATCAAGGTGGGGGAACCGGGGGTCTTGGGTTGGGCTGGGACACAGAAAACAGGCCCGTTTCCCCTGCTGTAGAGACCTCCCCCAGGACGTGTGTGTATGGGGTTTGGGTTTGGGGTTCGCGAGGTCAATGTTGGAAGAATGCCTGGAGTCCCCTGCTGACTGTCTGCCCACGGCCCTGACCCCTCCCTGCCCTCCCGGCCTCCGCAGTTGCACCCCTGGGTGACCAAGAATGGGGAGGAGCCCCTCCCCTCAGAGGAGGAGCACTGCAGCGTGGTGGAGGTGACGGAGGAGGAGGTGAAGAACTCCGTCAGGCTCATTCCCAGCTGGACCACGGTGGTAAGAGGACAGGGGAGGGGTGAGGGGCTCCCTTGTCCCGGGAGGGCCTGGGGGGCAGCCTGTGCACTGCCCGAGACTTGCTCTATGCCTGGCCCTGTGTGGGGACAGAGGGCTGCATGTCAGCCAGTCATGACATTGGGCCACCGGGGCCACTATTCCTCCAAAGGCCCCTGGCGAAGGAGGTCACGCCCTTCAGCCTCATGGCAGGAAGACAGCCCATGTTGCCCTGCATGACCCCCCACACACGCTCGGCTGAAGCCATGCACCCCAGAGTGGCTGCCCTGGAGCCTTGGGACATCTCCCTCTGCCTGGGAGCTCCTCCCCAGACGTCCGCACTCCTCACTTCCTCACTCCCTTCTGGTCCTCACTCCAAAGTCACCCCCTCAGAGCGGGGAGTCTTCCCTGGCCCCTTATCCCCAGCGTCAGGCTCCCCTGTGTCACACCTTACCCCCTTCCTTTGTTTTACTTTTTCCTCTTTAGCCCCAACCACTGACTAACATATTGTGTATTTCACTGATTTGTCTTCCTTATTTTTTGCCTGTCCCCCACCTAGAATTTAAACTTCACAAGGGCAAGAATTTTGGCCTCGGTGTGGCCCCAGTGTTTAGAATAGTGTCCAGCTGGCACATACTAGTGTTGATGGGATGCATGGATGGATGGATAAGTGAGTGAGTGAGCAAGTGAAAGGATGAGTGCACCGCAGGCTCCATGCACGTGTGTGTGAGTTGACATGGGACTGTCCCTGTTGTGGAGAAGGGACAAAGGCAGAGAGCCAGTGTGCGGCAGCTGCTCCCCTCCTGGAAGCCCCACTGGTTTGGTCATCGCTGCCCCTGGCAGCTCGCCAGGCCTCCCTGCGCTGCCCGGCACAGCCTCTCCTTGGGGCCGTCCCTCCCTGCGTAGCTAGAGGGTGTTTCCCAGTGGCACTTCCAGCCCTGTCCCTCCTCACACGTTCAGCCTGGTGTTGCAGACCCTTCATGGTCTGGTCCTGGCCTCTGCTCCCTTGTCCCTGCTCCCTGGTGCCTAGGTGGCACCAGGCTCCTTGCCATTCTGTGAGATCACCCCCCGCAGCCACCCCTCTGTGCCATTGCTTCTGTCGTTTCTGATTGAAACGGGACCCCCAGCGGGGCCCACCTGGCAGCTGCTGTCTAAGGAGTCAGAGCAGGGGGCTGCATGCGAGCTGCACTCGCGTGTCTGGGAGCCAGGGCCCGTGCTCATGCTGACGTGTCCTCCCCAGATCCTGGTGAAGTCCATGCTGAGGAAGCGTTCCTTTGGGAACCCGTTTGAGCCCCAAGCACGGAGGGAAGAGCGATCCATGTCCGCTCCGGGAAACTTGATGTAAGTACTGCTGGGCCGGACCCTGCTGGGTGCGCCCTGACAGGCCGAGCCCAGAGCCAGCGGCCTTGGCCAGTCTCAGAGGTAGCCTTGTTTGCACCTCGGTCCTCAAGGCTAGTTAGGGCCAGAAGGGACCTTCATGGCCCAGCACAGACTTCTAGAGATGAGGGGCTCACTCAGCCCCTCCATGGGGCAGGAAGACCTGTCTTCAGCTGGAAGCTTGACATGGTCACACTCTCCCGAGGCATCCAGCTCGGTCCCCTGGGGCTCACGTCGGTGGCCCCGCAACTGATGGCAGCCTGACAGAGGTTTACAGATGGGCTGGTGTCGGCTCCTTGCAGGAGGGAGGGGCACTGTGCCTGGCCGGGGCCCGGGGGCAGTGCTGCCTGCAGCCGGTGCTGAGGCCGCGTGCCCAGGCAGTGCTTTGTGAACACTTGTCCCTGACACGTGGGGACAGGCTGGCCGGCCTGGGGAGAGGAACCCCCCTGTGCAGAAGGCTCCCTGCTGTGAGCCACACCTGTGGGTTCACTACATCCTGGGAGAGGCCAGAAAATCAGTTCCCCCAAAACCTCTGTGGCCTCGTCCTCAGTTCTTCCACCTTCTTCCGCCACAATAAAAGTTAGTTTGGGATGCCAACGAGGCTGGCTGGAGTTTGTACGCAGACCTGCAGAGAGAAAGTCGTGAGGTCCCGAGCCAGGATGCCGTCCTGGGTCAGCGGCGGTCACCTTCCTTTGTCCTGTTGCGGGCGCCGCAGGGAGGAGGGCTGGCGGGAGTGGTGCCCCAGCCTGCTTTGTGGTGGAGGCGTGCCCCCCAGAAAGGAGGGTGCTGGGCTGTCCAGGTGCCCCGGCCTCTCGGGCAGCAGAGCGTCCACTGTGCCGTCCAGGCACCGGGTGCTGGTCCTGTGCGGGGCCTCCCTCCTGGAAGTGGGCTTTTCAGAGGCCCAGTGGGCACGCTGGTGTCTGCTCCTGCTCCTGCCATAGGTCGAGTGCACTCAGGGATGTCCCCGTAATGAGGTGTGGGGCCTGGGAGGGGCCGGACAGAACTGAGCTGCAATTTCCCCCTCTTCAGTGAGGTGGCTGGGTTTGGGGAAGGAGTTCCCTGAGCTCATCTAGATCTGCGGGCCCCTGATGCTGGAATTACACCTAGCCTAGGGGGAACATGTACCATTTGACATCTAAATGGGGCCACTTTTGAGAGTGAACAGGGAAGCTATTAATACTCATGCGGGGACAACAGAAGAATCAGGACGGTGCCCGGCAAACCTGATCCCTCGAGCTCGGGCGCCTGTGCCCCAGCGCCCCCTAGTGGTGGGACGAGCCAGTCACAGGATAAAGACCTCTAGCACCTCGTTTGTGCTCCACAAACTGTGATTGTGACAAGACTGGGCTTAATACTTTCCACTTATAAAATTCTGCAATTCTGTGGCCTAAGTTTAATTTTGAAAGCAGATTTAACCTCCATTATGGAGGCCCAGCATTCGTCCTTGATAGACTCTGTTTTTTATCCTTTGGGATAATTGTTGATACTCTTTAGTAGAGTTAAGTGGGATTGGTCCTTTGTTTAAGGTATCTAAACCCGGCTGGGTGCGGTGGCTCACGCCTGTAATTCTAGCACTCTGGGAGGCCGAGGAGGGAGGATTGCTCAAGGTTAGGAGTTTGAGATCCTGTTTCTACTAAAAATAGAAAGACATTAACTGGCCAACTAAAAATATATAGAAATAATTAGCCAAGCATGGTGGCGCATGCCTGTAGTCCCCGCTACTTGGGAGGCTGAGGCAGCAGGATCGCTTGAGCCCAGGAGTTTGAGGTTGCTGTGAGCTAGGCTGACGCCACGAGTAAAGCTCTAGGCCGAGTAACAGAGTGAGACTCTGTCTCAAAAAAAAAAAAAAAAAAAAAAACCCTTTCATCATTGGTTATTTTATAAAGAGACATCAGACTCTGCCCTGTGAACACGGCAAGGAAAATGCAAAAGGAAAGCCCCTGTCCCCAGCCAGGTTGGCCGGAGAGGTCAGCACCGAAGGCCCTTGAGCTGGCTGACACCTGGGGCTGAGGGGCCTCAGCTGGGCCAGAGCACGGGAGGCTCCGGAGGCCTGAACCGCAGGAGGGTGTGGGCAGCTGCCAGGGTGCAGGGAGGCTACACACGGAGGCCAGGCTTGGGCAAGTGGGTGAGGGGATGTGAGAGATCGTGGGATTCAAATGTCTGAGTGTGCCCCCCTAGTGCACGTTGTGAGCCCTGAGGTCACTCTGTCCCTGGTGTCCCCTGAACAGGAAAGAAGGATATGGTGAAGGGGGCAAGAGCCCAGAGCTCCCTGGCGTCCAAGAAGACGAGGCTGCGTCCTGAGCCCCTGCATGCGCCCAGGGCCGCCCGGCAGCACACTCATCCCGCGCCTGCAGAGGCCCACCACCCTCATGCGACAGCTGTCCCCGCGGGCAGGGGGCCAGGGACCGCGGCCCCTCTCCCGGCCACCTCCCCCGTCGTGCCGCATGACCTCCACGCACGCACGTCCAGGGACAGGATTGGAATATGTGTCATTTGGGGTTTGGGGGGCAGGGCTCCCACAAGGCCGTCCTTCTCCTGGCTCTCCCTGGCCCCACCCATTCTGGGGGGAAACCAGGCGCCCAGGGAGCCCCAGAAACCCCGCCCAGGGCAGGAGGCAGGAGATGGAGATGCTTACTGCAACGGAAGAGACCTCCATGGGGGGCTGGGCAGGCCTGGCTTAGCTGCCACACGCACACGGAGCGGGGTACTCTGCCACTAAGGGTACACAGAACGCTGGTAGAGAGGTTCTGACCCCTCGGTGTATTCTTGGGCCTCACTGGGGAGAGAGGGTCAGTATTGGAGAATTCAGATCACTTTTTTATCTTTTACTTTTGTTTTTAACCTGGGGGCAGGGGGGAGGATCTCTACTTAGGAACATCTCATGAGCTTTCCTACAGCTTTTGGGGGGGGTCCCCAGCACACCCCGGCATTATTTGAAAGCCAAGTGGTTGGACTGACCTGCCTGGATTGTGTTTTGCGTTTGGTGCCATCTGGAAAACAGGCTGAACTGAATCAAGCTCTGAGCAAAGGCCTGAGCTGGGGGCACCGCAGCTTCCCTGTCCGTCTCACGCCCTCCCTGCATGGCTCCCCAGAGCCCAGGCTGCAGAAGAGATAGCAGGGGCCGGCATCAACCCAGGGCCATGGACTTGTAGATCTGTGGCCTTGCACGTGCTGGAATAACTGGAATCCACTCTCCGATCCTACACTGGCCTACCAGGCAGCTGCCCTCACGTTCCCACAATGAAGGACAAACCGCCCAGGTTGGAGGCATTGCTTGACACTGAACCCTGGAGGGGTGTGCACACTGGCAGGTGGCCTCTTTGCCAACTGCCTCGCCCCAGGACAGTCAGCGGTCAGCCTGCTCAGAGCAGGAGTGCTGGAGCACGTGTGTGGACATGGCTCTGCTGGAGCAGACTGCGTCTTCTCTCTGAGATCAGTGGCCGGCTGGGCATTTGCTGACCAGATGCACATAGAGGTGGACCTCCAGAGGGAAATAACACAGGACTACTCAGATACCTCTGGAAACATGGGTTAGGTAAAGGATTTCAGCCACGTGTGCGGGTGTCATATTGTAGGAGGGCTTGTTTGGAGGAGGGGGAGGCTGGGCTGAGGGAGGGCCCGCGTCCTGCCGCATCTCTGTGCCTGTGGGTGTACGTCGCGCCTCCACGCACACATGCGTGTGCGTGCCCATCTGCTGCACACAGCACACTCGCATGTCTTGCACCAGTACATGCATTTGTTATATAGTTTCTATGTCTATTTAAGGCTAGGAGCAGAATGCGGCCCATTGTCAATGGGTCCACATTTCTCCCTGGCTTCTCTGCACTAAGGCAGAACGGCCCAGGGCTTAAAAAAATAACTCGGTACTGTTTTTAAGGACACTTTTATAGAGTTCATGGAAGGCACTGAGCATCTCTGGGAGCTCCTGGTTGCAGGGGGCTACAGCGATTGGACCCAACCTTGGAAAGCTCAGAGATGGGCCCAGCTTCACCACCATGTCAGCGCCCATCACTCAGGGTTTTGGTTGGCATCAGTGTTTCTGAATGTAGCACAAGTGATGAACAAACTCCATAAGAGTGTTTTAAAAATTAACTTCCCAGGAAGTGAGTTAAAAATAATAAAAGCCCTTTCTTGAGTTAAAAAGAAAAAAAAAAAAAAAGGCTTTGTGTGTACATTTCCCGCATCTGGCATGTGTTCTTTCTCACCGGCTGGACCAGCTGGCTTGGCTGGCTTTTCTGGAAGGGTGTGAGGCACCCTTGCAGGAGGTGAGAGGGCAGGAGAAGGGGTGGCTCAGGAGGGGGAGTCCAGGATGCAACTCAAGCCCCTGGGTAGGTCCTATGGTCCCTCCTGGGGAAGGATGGGGAGTCTGGGAGCCAGTGGACCACCCACAAGGGCACCTGCCTGTTTCACAGGGGCCCAGGAAGGCCGAGGTCTGGTCCAGGTGAGAGCTGTCACCACTTCTCATGGGACAGAGGTCCCCATGGAGCCTCAGAGGAATGCCTGTGACACAGGTCCAGTGTCCTCCCTATGCCCCCATAGCCTTGGGCACTGGTACAGGCTTTCAGGATCCTGAACCCCTCCAGGGCCTTGATGAAGAGTCATCATTGAAGTCAGAGTTTGAATCCAAGCTTCGCTACCTAATAATTGTGTGACCTTTGGCAAGTCACTGGAGGAACCTCAGTTTCTTCATTGGCATAATTTGAATAATAGCACCTGGTTTGTGGGTTTGGAATGGAAAAAACACACTGTTTTCAACTCTGCTCTCACAGCACAATAATTGACACAGAAGACAGCCGTGACCAAAGGTGTGGGGGTCATTCCACACACACCAAGCAAGCGGTCAGTTCTGCAGCAGACACCATCTGGGCGTCCTCCAATTCAATTTTAACGCCTTCTACCTGGTGATGGTGTCAGGTCCTCTGGCGTGAGGGCTCAGTCCCCAAGACTGTGCCGACTTCAGACACCAGTTACAAGGCGAGGCCTCTGGAACATCTGTCTGACCAGCTTCAAGTTGGGGCTCCTGTGACCCCCTCCCTGGGTCAGACTAATTTGCTAGAGGCCTGGTGCCTCTCAGAGATGCCTTGGGACTCTGGATCCCACAGACCCTTTGTCTCTGCCCTCTGCAACCCCTGATATCCTATGGGCTCTCCTCAGCCTGGGGGAGAGGAGGGAAGGGTGGCCAGGGCCACTGAGGGTTCCAACTTTCCCAGGGGGACACCCCAGACACAGGGTGGGACTCACATAAACACTCCTCAGGTTATGGAGTCACCTTGCCACACGCAGGCGTCACTCACACAGCCCCCCCTCAGGCAAATGAGCAGGCCTGTCTCGGGCCGCCCTCTGGGCACTGGGACTCTGCTGAGGGAGCCCAGTGCTGGGCCTGGGGTCCACTGAGGCTCAGGAGGGGCCTGTCCTCAGTCTCACCGCAGAACAGAGCCCTGGCCCTCGAGGAGCCCCTGCGCTGCTCCAGCCTCCTGCTGGACTGGGCCCCTGAAGGCACCGTGCTGCTTGCTCCACGCCCCTAGACACACGGACATAGCTCTGCTCTCGGGGGCTTCAGACACATCCATTTCTCCAGCTAGGAGGAGCCAGCAGAAAAAGCCTGGGTCTTGTCACTGTCCAGGCTGGGCTGCCAGCCCCTGTCCAGGTCGGGCTGACCAATTCATCATTCATTAGCCTATCCCCACTTTGTGTGGTCAGCCTCCTGCCCTCCCAACTGCACAGGCCCCGCCACCTCCAAGAAGCCTTCCATGGTCCATAGTGGTGTGTGGTTTGGTGTCTGGCCCATTTCCTACAAGACTGGGGCCAGGAAGCAGGAATCACAGCTTTGCCAACTGGCTGAGTCACTTTCACAATGTATGCCTGCCCCTCACTGCTCCCCCGTGTTGAAGACCAGTCGAGGAGCATCTCTCAGGAAGCCCTTTTCTTGGCCTGTTTACCTCTGGCCTTTTCTGGTTCTCTGTGTCCTGCCCCTCAGCCTACAGACTTGCTCAGGCCTATTAGGTAGAAAGCAAGTATCTGTCCCCCTTGATTTCTGAGGGCTGCTGCCCCCCACTCCAGGTAGCGTTGCCTCTCAGATGCCCTCTGCATGGGGCTCCCTGTTCTCTGTTACTGCCGGCCTCACTCAGCCCCACCCCAGCAGGACTGGTCACTGTCCTAGCCATGACCCATGTGATTGGCTGATGCCCTCTGCACTTCGACCCCCAGTCCTTTGGTCTCTCCCACCCTCCATCCCCCAACACACACACACACAGCCTGTGCACAAGTCTACACTGAAGGAATGAAACAGGGTCAGCGGGGAACTGCACAACTGCAGGGCACTGGCTACACTTCTCACTTGGTTTCCCCGCAGAGTTCAAGAGGGATTATGTCTCAGGTTCTGGAGCGTTCACAAGGAGAGGACTCTGCTTGCCCTCAAGTGTCCCCCTCTCCTTTAAGGCGATCTGTGCCATCATCCACCTACCTCCCTGGGAAACCCACCCCAAAGATGAGAAGGGCTCCCCACCCACTGTGGTCTGCCTGTCCCCTCCTTCCCCACCCTCCATTCCCAATCCAGTCTGAAGCACAAATTAGTTCTCAACCTGGTAACACGCTACACTCTCCTAGGGAGCTTTTAAATCATGATGCCTGGGTCCTACCCTGGGAAGTTCTGGTTCAAATGGTCTGGGGTATAGTCTAGGTGTAAGGATTTTTTTTTTTTTAATTAATAGACTTTATTTATTTATTTTTTGAGCAGTTTTAGGTTTATAGAAAGTACAGACAGTACCCATACACCCCTTCAAACTCTGCTTCCTGCCCCCCAGTTTCCCCTATTATTAACATCTTGCATTGGGGTACACTTGTTACAACTGATGAGCCAATATGGAGACATTATTATTAACTGAAGTCCACAGTTTACATTAGGGTTCACTCTGTGCTGTACATTCTATGGGTTTTGACAATGTATAATGACACACACCCACACTTACAGCATCATATGGAATAGTTTCACTACCCTAAAAATCTGTGCTCCACCTGTTCATCCCTCCCTCTCCCTCCTCTCTCTGACAACCACTGATCTTTTTTTTACTGTCTCCATAGATTTTGCCTTTTCCAGAATGTCATATAGTCAGAATCATTTAGTATATAACTTTTCCAGTTCCCCAGGTGATGTTAATGAACAGCAAGGGTTGACATGAGTAGCCCTGGTCTAGGATTTGGCGAAGAGGGTTGGTAGATCGATGCTTTATGTTCCTAAATCTAGCACAGGCAAAGGTCTCATGTGCTTTGGTATGTCCATCTATCCATCCATCCTTTCAATATTTTGTCCAGGGCCTTTCATAACCAGGCACTGAGTTAGACACTAAGCCAAACCAACACGGTTCCTGCTGTCATGGCCCTCACAATCCACAGCAAGAGACAGCCATTAATCAAGTTGCCATGTTGAGTGCATGGATGATTTTGAACGATGAGTGCTGACTATTGTGCTGATCAGGGACGGAGGGAACACAGGAATGGACCTGGCAGGTTGAGTCTGGGGTGCCTTGAGACATTCAAGGGAAGAGGTGCAGGTAGCAGTTGGACATGCAGGTCTGGAGCTCAGAGGAGAGGTGAGAACTGCAAATGGAGAGGTGAGGGCCCTTGGGATGTGGATGGCAGTGGGGTTGGAAGCCATGCATGTATGCGAGGAGATGGACTGGGGTGGAGGTGAGCATGGGTGAGAAGACAGAGGGCCCAGGATCGAGCCCTGATGGACTGTCACTGTTGGGGGAGGAGAAAGAACCTGCAAAGACACTGGAGCAGGAGCAGTGGGGAGGTAAAAGGAAAACTGAGTGTGGCATTATAATGGCAGGGTGTCTATGATGCGGAGTGGTCAAGGGAGAAGAGGGGAACAGAGAAAGGGAGGGAAGATGGTCCTTTTAGGAATTTAGCTATGTAGCGGGGGGGGGGGCATGGATATAGTACCCCCACCAGGAGCAGCTGCTCCATGACTTTCTCTTTGACTATGGAAACTTCTCCTTAACTATGACTGAGGGGTCTAGGATGTGGGGGTCGTGTGCCCAGTGTAAACGTGCATTAAATAACATCTCTACCGTAATCAGCAGGGCATCACCTCAGGCCGGTGGACCTCGTTACCAGTCTTCAAGCAGCATTTGATTTCACCTTAGGAGCTCATATAACCTTTCAGTGGCTTTTCCCTTTGTTACTCCAGGAGAGACAAGATTCCATTATTTTTATTCCCCTCCTCCCTGAGTTGGAGAGGGAGGGAAAAAGGAGAGGGAATGGCCAATTTCAGTTAAAGAAAACCCAAAAAGGAACCTTTTAGAAGACCCTGTTAATATCCTCCCCGGCCCACTAGCCTCCCCTTCACAAACTTCTCAAAAGAGTGGTCCACACTGCCTCAACTCCAGCCATTACTCTGCTTTTGCCTTCATGGACATTGGTCTCTTCCAAGTCACCAATGGCCAAGGAACCTCTAGACCCAAGCTAAGTTCCAATGTCAAGTTGTGGTTGAATTTGACACTTGATCACTCTCTTCTTAAAACTCTCTAGTCTGTCCCAGTGTCCCATTCTCCTGGTTTTTTCTATTAAAAATTATCCAGAATTTGGAAATAGTGAAAAGGACTACACAGATGTCCTCTCAGTGCAGTGCCAGGTATTATCCAACATGCCTTTTCTACCTGGGGAGCCATCTGATTCTCTAGGGATGTGTAGCTTTGTTTGATTTCTTATTTACTAGTTTTTTTAAGAGACAGGGTTTTGCTCTGCCACCCAGGCTGGAATTTCTGAGCTCAAGTGATCCTCCTACCTCAGCCTCTCAAGTAGCTGGGACTACAGGCACATGTCACTGCACCCAGCTAAGACTTCTTATTTACTATTTATTATTTATTATTCTTTTAGGGACAGGGCTTCACTCTGTTGTCCAGGCTGGAATGCAATAGTGCAGTCATAGCTCACTGCAGCCTCCAACTCCTAGGCTCAAGTGATCCTCCTGCCTCAGTCTCTTGAGTAACTGACACTACAGGTGTGTGCCACCATGCCCAGCTAATTTTTTTTATTTTTGTAGAGATGGGGTCTCACTATGTTGCCCAGGCTAGTTTTGAACTCCTGGCCACAAGTGATCTTCCTGCCTGCCTCAGCCTCCTTACTCCTTATCTACTATGGATTAGGGTATTTTACAACTCTATGAGAGTAGAGGTTACTTTATAGAAAATTCATAACAAGTACATAATTCTTATCCAGTAGCAATGCAAATGTCTGCTGTCTGGTAGAAAAGGGAACCCCAAAGGTTATAGTTTCTTGCCTTGTAGAGCATTAATCTGCCTTGTCAAATGCATCTCAACATTCCTTTGACTGACCAACTATATTCATTCTCAATTTCTCTTTTGAACTAGTCTTGATATCTTACTAGTTTCCTCACTCATTAATGAATGGATAAGCTTTGACATGTGTTCATTTTATATTTGTTTGAGAGTCATGTGTTTTAGCTTTTTGAAAATTATTTTTTACCACCTCCTAAATCCTTCATGGCTCCACCTCAGCTGGCTGCACCAAGGACAGGAAAGGGGGGCAGGTGAGTTAGGTGACCAAAAGGGGAAAGACACAAAGGGCTTTTCTGACAGAGCCTAGGAGCCTTGGTATTTATCTGATGTCCTGGCTTGCCCTGGACTCCTAGTTCACCTGCCAGCTAAAGCCCTGCCAGGGTGCTGGTTCTCACCTGAACTGCACTGAACTGCAATGTTCAATCCTCCCTGAATCAAATCCTCAAGCAACAAGGCTCCTACCCAGCAGGGACAGGGGCCTGCCCAGCCCCCTCTGCTGGCCTTGTGGTGTCCATAGTGGAGGAGGAATTGCTTCTTCCTCTGTCATCCCCCACCCCACAAGCCTAGTAATGGTGGGACCTTGACTGTCACCCACAGCTGGCCATGCCAAGTACACACTTTCTTTCACATGTTCCTTAAAATACACACAAATGCATTCCATGCATTCAACCTAATTTTGTAACTATTTTGTGTCCCATTCATCAAGGAAAACTAGTCCTCTAAAGCGCTCTGTTTTTTTTTTTTTTTTTTTTTGAGACAGAGTCTCGCTTTGTTGTCCAGGCTAGAGTGAGTGCCATGGCATCAGCCTAGCTCACAGCAACCTCAAACTCCTGGGCTCAAGTGATCCTCCTGCCTTGGTCTCCTGAGTAGCTGGGACTATAGTGAAATGCCACCACATCTGGCTAATTTTTTCTATTTTTAGTAAAGACGAGGTCTCACTCTTGCTCAGGCTGGTCTCCAACTCCTGAGCTCAAGTGATCCTCTGGCCTTGGCCTCCCACAGTACTAGGATTATAGGTGTGAGCCACTGTGCCAGACCAAGAGCTCTGTGTTGTGTTTGCCCTGTGATTTAACCCAAATTTAAGAAAAACTATGATGTACTGCACCCCTTCTATTGGATCCTGTATCTATATATAATTATCTCATTTAACCCTCAACCACCTCATTTGGAGATGGGTAATATTTTTCCATTTTACTGATGAAGGAACTTAGGCTCCACAGGGTTCAGTGGCTCACCCAAGGCCACACACCATGTGTGGGGCAGGGCTGGCCAGATTGACGCCCAGGTGTGTCTCATGCTGATCATGCTCTTCCTTGGCTTACAATTATTTGTTCCTCCATGGTCAGAGCTGGTAGGGCTCAGAGACCCTGGGGTCCCACCTGATCACTCACCAGGCAGAAAACCAGGCCCAAAAAGGGGCCAGGACCAGCCTACGGTTACACAGGGAGGAAGATGCAAAATCAGGACTCAAAGCAAAAACTGACCAGTGGTGCTCTCTGGAAGCCAACACTCCCTCTCCCCCACTAGGCTCTCAGAAAAATATCAGCAGGAAACCATGTTCACAGGTCTACAGTGGATAGCACCTTCAGGAGTCAGGAATTTGAGGTCTAAGCCCTGGCCTTTGGGCAGGTCACCACCCTCTTGGAGTCTCAATTTTAGTGTATTTTGGGGAGACCTGAAAGAGACAAAGGTTGGCAAGGCAAGTAACTTTGTAAATCTGCAGATTGCCCAGAGGTGATATACCAAGGCTCACTGTGGGCTCTGGAGCCAGACCGTCTAGGTTTAGGTCCAGGTTTTATTCCTTAAATAGCCTGTCACCTTGGCTACATTTCTGTGCCTCAGTTTCTTCATATGTGAAACAGGAGTACTAATAGGACCTACTTCATGGGGTTGTTGTCAGGGCTCAAGCGCTTTGAGGTGTCTGGCACCTAGTGATCGCTTGAGTACAGATTTAGACCCGTAACCCGGACTACACCGAACTCCTCCAGATCCCGTCCCCTCCAGCAGGCCCCGCCCCCGTCCTCACTCGGTCCCGCCGCAGCCGGCCCGGGTTCCTCCCGCCACCAGGGGGCGGGAACGCTAAAGCCGGCCTTCTGGCAGAAACAGGTGACGCTCTAGGTATCGGTGGCGGCTCCTCGGTGGCCACTGGCGGCGGCGCTCTAGCCGGCGGGTGTGCGGGGCGGGCTCTCAGTGGTGCGGCCGGCAGGCAGCGATGGCGGCCGTACGGGGCCTGCGGGTGTCGGTGAAGGCGGAGGCCCCGGCGGGGCCAGCTCTGGGGCTCCCGTCACCTGAGGCAGAGTCCAGTGTGGACCGTGGCGAGCCGGAGCCTATGGAGGTGGAGGAGGGCGAGCTGGAGATCGTGCCGGTGCGGCGCTCGCTGAAGGAACTGATCCCGGTACGGGCGGGGGGCGGGGAGCGAGGAGGAGGTTGCGGAGCGAGTGCCCTGCGCCGGAGGGGGCCGGAAGGGGCCGGAAGGGGAGGCGGCGGGAGCCCTGGCCCGGGGAAGTCGGCGGAGCTGGCGAGAGGGGCGCGAGCGCCCGGGGGGCGGGGGCGTCAGGCTGGAGGAGAGACTCGGAGCTAGAGAAAGGACGCCGGGGCGCCGGCAATGGGTGTTGAGGGGGCTGGAGGTGGGGGGGAGGAGGGGGCTGGAAGATAGTTGAGGACACCCCCTCCGCTGCCCCTCTGAGCCGCGCAGTGCAAGGGAGCGAGGAGGGGCTGACATTGAGATAAAGGGGAGCCCTGCGCGGGAACGGAGCCGGGAGCAGCCCCGAAGGAACTGTGGGGTGGCGGCGGCATCTAGGTCTCCTTGTGGGTCCTGCCCCAGAGGAGTTGGTATCTGTTAAACATGGCACTCGCCCTTTCTCTTGGGAGGGTTGGAACTGTCAGCAACAGAAACTCTCTGTTTCTGTTGTGACTTGAGGGTCATCTTGCCTCGCGCAGCTCCACTGCTGTGTAGCAAGCACCTACCCTGTGGTCCCAGCATCTGACCTGTAATGAAACCACAATATCACAGGACCAATAGTGATCTTTGGTCCCTTCTTTACCATAATGGGGACGGTGAGAGGTGTTTTGCTTGTGGTTTGATAGTCGTATGTCCAGTTCTTAGAGCTGGTCTCAGGCCTGGATGGCTCCTCTCATGTACTTAATTTATTACCTAACATGAACTACTTTTTACCAGTCTTGCTTTTAAAATGAAGATATGGAAAAAAGGCTAAGGTAGGATCACTAGAGATGGCAAATGATAATGACTGTGGTTAATAACAATTAACATAAGGGCATTTTACCGTTAAAATCATTGCATTATATCGTTTATGCCAGGTGCCTAGGCCTGAGACTATAGTATCGGCTACTCTGGGAGGCTGAGACAGGAGGATCTCTTCAGCCCAGGAGTTGGAGACCAGTCTGGGCAACATAGTGAGACCCTGTCTCTAACAAAACAAAAACAAATAATAGGCCGGGCGCGGTGGCTCACGCCTGTAATCCTAGCTCTTGGGAGGCAGAGGCGGGCGGATTGCTCAAGGTCAGGAGTTCAAAACCAGCCTGAGCAAGAGCAAGACCCTGTCTCTACTATAAATAGAAAGAAATTAATTGGCCAACTGATATATATATAAAAAATTAGCCGGGCATGGTGGCACATGCCTGTAGTCCCAGCTACTCGGGAGGCTGAGGCAGAAGGATCGCTCGAGCCCAGGAGTTTGAGGTTGCTGTGAGCTAGGCTGATGCCATGGCACTCACTCTAGCCTGGACAACAAAGCGAGACTCTGTCTCAAAAAAAAAAAAAAAAAAACAAAAACAAATAATAAATATCACTGCAGTTGTGAAGTAGAAATTATCCCTTCATTCATTCAGTTCAACACGTATTTATTGCATGCCCCACTATGTGCCAGGCACAACCTTAAGTGCTTGATCAAGATCAAACTCCCTCTTGGAGTTTATGTTCCAGTTGGGGACACAAGTAAATAATTTCCTTAGTATTAAGTGCTATGAAGAAAATAATGTTAATAGAGAGTGCAGGGGTGAGGAGTGTGAGCAGAGCTATGATGGGATGGCCAGTGAAGTCCTTTGAGATGGTGACATTTAAACTGAACCCTAAATGACAAAAAGGATCCACCCATGTGCACATTGAAAGGGAGTGTTCCCAGCAAGGGCAATAGTTAAGTGCTGCAAAGGTTCTGAGATGGGAACAAGATTGTTGTGCTGGAGAAATAGAAAATTCTGTAGCACAAATGGAAGAACAGTTAAAGAGATCAGGAAAGTGGGCAGATATTATGGAGAAAATCTTGGCCCAGAGAGGTCAAAGAAATTATACAGTGTTCTATAATTAGTGAATATCAGAACTGAGATGTTAGTCCTTGCTCAGTTTCCAAATCCCATCCTCTTTCCATTGCTGGGTGCTGTATTTTCTCCAGGAGTTCTAGGTGATCCTGGACTTTCTGCATTTTGGTGGAAGCTTGTGCTCCACCTGGTGGCCTGGCTTGGGGAATTTGTCCAGTCTGACTGGAGAGATAAATGACTGCCTAGTCTTTGACATTTTCTTCATGAAAGCCTTTAGATTTTCTTTATATGGATACCTTCAGCTGATGGAATTACTTATGGTTTTGGACAGGTTCTGACTTCTTGTTAGGGTGGTTTATTGATACCGTGGAGTCACTGGGATGGGCTTCTTAATAAGAGGTTGTCAGTGGTGGGAGAAGGTTGTTGAGAATGACTATTTATTCAAAAAGACTTGTGGGGGGGGAAGGGGGAGGGGGGGAAAGGGCAGTTATTGAAACCTTAAAATTTAAAATTTGTACCCCCATATTATGCCAAAATAAAAAAAGAACCAATTGTCAGACTGTCTTTTCTCCTGGGTTTTCTTTAATTGCTGTCAGAATTTCTCACCCTTTCTCTTTGTGTTAGGACACAAGTAGAAGATATGAAAACAAGGCTGGCAGCTTTATCACTGGGATTGATGTCACTCCAAGGTAAGACGTTATTATTATTCGTTGATGACGGTGAACTTAATGAACTTGGTCCCTAGAACTTACAGAATGTTAAATATTCTTTTTTACCTCCTTTTTTCTTCTGTTGCTGAATTAAAAAAAAAAATTTTAACTTCATGTTACACAGTGATGCCTTTATGGTCCTGAAAACATCTAGGCACCATTTATGTGTTCTTGGATCCATGAAAAGATAAAATCAATATCTAGATGCTGTGCTTAACCATTTCCAAGGAAAAGTTTGTATGGGAATGTCTTTTAAAATGTGTGTCCATTCTTTAAAAAATGCGTGCTGTTTCCACTTTAAATGAAATAAACATGAAAAGTGCTTGCACGTAGTAGCCCTTAGTAAATGTTTATATCCTTACTGGTGGAGACTTAGAAAAATAGGGTTCCTGGCCAGCTGTGGTGGTGCACGCCTGTAATCCCAGTACTTTGGGAGGCTAAGGTGAGAGGATTGCTTGAGCGCAGAAATTCAAGACCAGCCTGGGCAATATAGCTGGACCCCATCTCTAAAAAAAAAAACAAGCAGGGAGTGGGTACCTGATTGCCTGCCTGTCTAAACTTTGAAGGCCAAGTCAGCTGAATTATTTTCAGTACCTAAGAGTGTTGCCTTTTGTCTAGTGATTGCTATTACCAGATTATGGCCTTCATTTTGACCTCATAGAGTCAAACCTATTATATTCGTTATTGTAAACAGTCAGTACATATTTGTTGCTTTAATCAGTGATGTCCAGTTTAGAAATTCTTTCTTTTTTTTTTTTTTTTGAGACAGAGTCTCGCCTTGTTGCCCAGGCTAGAGTGATGACTGCCATGGCATCAGCCTAGCTCATGGCAACCTCAAACTCCTGGGCTTAAGCAATCCTGCTCTCAGCCTCCTGGGTGCGCCGCCTTAGACATTCTTTCTGATTTTAATGTATGCCATTAAGTTTGGAACAGAATTCTGAATTACAATTCTGAATAATAGTATATATTGCTATATTAGATGCATAAAAGCAAAAATAAAAATAAATGTCAGCCGGGCGTGGTGGTTCACGCCTATAATCCTAGCACTCTGGGAGGCTGAGGCAGGCAGATTGCTCGAGGTCAGGAGTTCGAACCAGCCTGAGCAAGAGTGAGGCCCATCTCTACTATAAATAGAAAGAATTAATGGGCCAACTAAAATATATAGAAAAAAAAATTAGCTAGGCATGGTGGCACATGCCTGTAGTCCTATCTACTCGGAGCTGAGGCAGGAGGATTGCTGAGCCAGGAGTTTGAGGTTGCTTGAGCTAGGCTGACACACAGCACTCACTCTAGCCTGGACAACAAAGCGAGACTCTGTCTCAAAAATTAATAAATTAATAAATATGTCATACTTATCTTTTTATAGTTTGTCTGTGTCTCAATGTGTCTCAGATTACTTAAAGGCCAAAAGAAAGAGAACTGATCATCTGTTAGACAAGAAAATAGAATAAAGTGAAAATGTTTTCTTAGTGTAGTTGAAAAAGAAGTAGATAGTTCTTAAGCCTAACAGTTTGCCATTATATGAAACAGGTCTATGGGGAAAAGGGTGGTAGTCCCAGAGTTGGCACTTAAATTGTTACTAAAGGAAGGTATATTGTTGTTTGTACTAGGAAAACTTCAGCGAAGAAAATTAGCATAACTATTGAGAAGTAACACAAGTGTTGCTGCTTTACCAATCCTCACAAGCTTTCAGTAGTCCGACCTTCAGTTAGTGTGGTAAAGTTGATAGACAGTTAGTGAAGGGTTCCTGTGAGCCATCTGAAACCCGCAGTTGGACCTAAATCTATTTTAGCTCTTGGAAGAAACTTAAAAACTGATTAGTTTTTTTCAGTGATGCATCAATGCTACTTGTCACTTAAAGATGAAAACTGGCAATTCCATGGACACAAAGGCTGGAAGAGTTGAGAGAATTTCTTTGCCTCAGTGTTATTTTTAAACAGGAGCTAGCTTTAGGGAGTGGACTGCTGAGGCACGCACAATGTGGAAGAGCGTGATGAGTGTGATTACCATGCCCGCAGATGATGTGAAATGGTGGTTGTGGAGGAGCTCCTAGAAATAGCACTGGAATCAGAAGATCTGCTGCCTTAACTAGCTGTAGTACCTCCGGCAAACCTTTTGGCTTTTTTGTCCCTCAGTTTCTGCATCTGGAAAATTGGGATGTTGAGATTGTTTAATTGTAATTTGTTGGCCTAATTACTAACAATAAATGTCAGAGAACTTTATAAATTGTAAAGCACTATTCATTCACTCAACAGATGCTCATTGAGTTCCTACAATGTCCCAGTAATAGGTACAGTAATAGGTTGTGATAGGATGGAGGCGATAACAAATTATAGCAGAATTAATATAAGCCCTCCCAGCCACTGAATGTGAATATCTGGTTCTCTGCAAAACTTAATCAAAGCACAGTGGTCACTGATGCATCATGTTGTGTTTGTGATTTAACTTTCTTCCTCCATATTTAACTTCTTTGACTTTTTCTGTACTTTTCTATGTATGTCTATATATTTATAGTATATTGATATATATATGCTGTATGTTCTTCTAAGCTTTTCTCTATTTCTGATTTTATATGATATATATTTATATTTCTCTCTCTATGTTTCTAGAAATGTTAGCCCTGGACCGAGACATGATGAAGAAAGGTACAAGGTGGTTTTTTTTTTGGGGGGGGGGGGTGATTTTCCACATTTACCTAGAGAACAACTTTCCCTGCCATCACCTCATGCTTCTGGCCTTGCCTTGCATGTCTAGTCCTTATCCAAATACTCCCAAAGGAAGGTACTTGTGAAATTGTCATTTCTAAGGGAACCTGTTAAAAATTGAGATGCTATCAGCTGTCTCAGATATTAGAGCTGGAAAAAAAGATTGTCTTATCTGAGGAGGCCCAGAGGAAGTCACTAGTAAGTGGCAGAGCTGAGATTAGAACCTATGCTTCTAAGGACCCTTACTCATTTTGCTTTTTTGGATAGAGGTATTAGCTTTCTTTGCCTTTAAATGTTGTAAAAGTGTATTATAGTGAGACCTTCTTTTAGGGGAGTTATAGCATTTTTTCGAGTGGGGAAAAGTCATTAACACTTCTATGACCAAGCACGGTGGGTCACGCAACACTTTGGAGGCCAAGGCGGGAGAGATCACTTGAGCCCAGGAGTCTTTTGAGACTAGCCTGAACAACATAGGGAGACCCATCTCTACAAAAAATAAAAATTAGCCAGGCATGGTGGCACACACCTGTATTCCTCAGCTCTTGGGAGCCAAGGCAGGAAGGATCACTCGAGTCCCCAGTAGTTAGAGTTGCTATGGACTATAATGGATGACTGTTGCTCTTAGTCCGTCATGAGACCTGTCTCCAAAAATAAATGAATAAATAAGTAGCTCAGTAAAACATGTTGAATGAATGAAGACTACTTACTTTTTTGCTTCTACTAGATACTGTGCTAACTAGTTTTGCATATTTACATATTTCATTTTCTTTTTTCTTTTTGAGACAGAACAAAGATCTTCCTCCTTTGCCCAGTCCCCGGAAAATAGTGGCAAATTAGTAGCTCATGAAAATGAATCCTGGCTCAAGTGTCCTTTTGCCTTGTCCCAGAGTGCTTGTATTAACGAATGTGACGCCACTGTGCTCAGCCTAACATATTTTCTTTTATTTCCGCAACAACTATAGGCACATAATATTATAGTGTAGTATATTATATAATTTTTTTGAGACAGACTCTCACCTTTTGTTGCCCGGGCTTGAGTGCTTTGGCATCAGCTTTAGCCCTCACAGCACCTCAAAACTCCTGGGCCCAAGTTGATCCTCACTGCCTCAAGCCTCCCAAGTTAGCTGGGGGAACTAACAGGCAATGTACACCGATGCCGGCAAATTTTTTATAATAAATAATTTATATTTATAAATAATGAAGTTAGCAATTTAATTCTTATATTTATAGAGAAACGGGCCTTGTCTTTGCTCCAGGCTGGTTTGTTTAATTTTTTTTTATTTTTTTTTTTCTTTTGAGAACAGAGTCTTCAAAAACTTTCTTGCCTGGCTAGAAGTGGAGTTGCCATGCGCGTCAGCCTACCGCTCACAGCAACCTCAAACTCCTGGCTCAAGCAATCCTCCTGCCTCAGCCTCCTGAGAGCTGGGACTACAGGCCACGACCACCATGCCCGGCTGATTTTATATTATAGGTATTTAAAGTTGCCAACTATATTTCTTTCTAATTTATGGTAGAAGACGAGGTTCTCGCTCAGGCCTGTTTTGAACTCTGGACCTTGAGCAATCCGCCCGCTCCTCGGCCTCCCAGAGTGCTAGGATTACAAGGCGCGGGAGGACCAGCACCGCGCCCGCCTAGCAGGTTTTGAAACTCCTGACTTTGAGCAATCCAACCACCTCGGCCTCCCGAGTGCTAGGATTAAAGGGCGTGAACGCACCGCGCAGCTGAGACATATATTTATCCTACTGTACAAAAGAGAATACGGCCTGGTTAGCAGCTCATGAATTTGCCCAGGGTTATGCAGCTAGTAAAGGTAGAGTTGGGATTTGAACCCAGGTTTATCTGACTCTGAAGTCTTGCTTTTAACTGCTTTGCTCTATTGCTGTGTAATGTATGATACCATACTATAGACCCAAACCTTGTCCCTCCACAGTCAGTCCTAGTAGGCAGAGTAGCTTAGATGAAGAGCTCAACTCTAGAAGCTGCTTTTACTCTTTCCTTCATCACAAGTTCGAGTCAAAGGTAGACCTTGCTTCCCTCACAGGCTGGGGTTCCAGGCGTCTGCTTTAGTGGATTTCTGTTTCAGGAGAAGTCTTGTGAAGGCCAGTGACAACTGTACAGCTTGACATTCTTGTGCTTGCATAGCCTTGGCCAAATAGACATTTGAGCCCTCTTATGTCTCTGCCTTGAAAGGACTGTGGTTTCACCATTCCTGCTGATTCCTGGTTCCCTGAATATTCTTGAGACAGCTTTTGTCTGCTATATTAATAGTTCATTCCTTTCACTCTGCTTATTTGCCTTTTCTTGTCCCATGCTTCATTTGGTTTAGGTGTCACTTCCTCTGTGAAGCATATTTGTTCACCCACTTGAAATTCTTTCTCACCTCTGTGGGAGCTCTTCAGGTTTCCAAACCCTCCTAGAATCTAGTCTTAGTTTCTTTGTGTCTGTGGGCAAATTGTTGAGCCTTTTTAAGTCTCAGTCTCCTTGTCTGTAAAATGGGAATATGATATCTATCTTAATAGGATTGTTTGGTTATTAAGTTTTAATTTAAAAAAATTTTTTTTTCTTTTTTTGTAAAAGCAATTTCGATCTCATGATTCTAAAGATACTCCTTAAAATGGCAGTAGGCCTGCTCTGGAATGTCAGCTGGGGAAGGTTGCTCATTTCAGTCTCTTTTTTCCCCCCCATTGCAACAATTTAATAAAATTATAAGAGCAAAAAGTTACATTTACAAAGTACCAAAACCTGCAACTATCTCACAGAGCAGAGCCTAGAGATCCAGGAACACCAGGTGGTGTAGCTGAGCAGGGCTCTCTAGTCCCCCTTCCTCAGCATCTTTTACCCTCCTGAGAAAGCAGCATTTGGAGCCTATATCATTTGTGGTTTTCTCACTGGAGTAAGAAATACAGGTATCTGTGGAGGAGGGGCAGTCTGAAAGGTGGTGGAGCCAACAGCCAGGGCAAGACTTCAGGGAACGTGAGAAAGGAGGAGCTGTGCAAGGTACCTCTGTCCTTTGGAGCTGTTACCCACCACCCCCCATACTGTGGACTGTCTACCGTGAGGCAGGCTTGGAAGAACCTGCCTAGGGGAGGATGGGTGACTTCTAAGGCAAAGGGGAAAGCTGCCTCCTGGGCTCCCCACCTCCAGCTGCAGAGCTGGTTTATGATACTGAGAAAACCCCTGCATTTTGCCCTAGAGCCAGGGCTCTGGTGAGTTATAGTAGGAGAGGAGTTACTAGCATGGCGAGAGGGTCCTATTTTACTTCATTCTTCTGGACCCCTCCACCCCACTCACACCTTTTGCACAGGGGACTGAATAGGCACAGCTTTCTTTCCTCATTGCTTCAGATGGCCCTGGGTGTAGACTCAGAGCAGGAGGACAGCAAAGACCATGGCCACCCCCAACCCTCCCACCACAATGTCATTGTGGCCATAGAGGAGACAGGAAAGAAGGATGGCAAAGGCCTGGTGGAGATTGTCCTCACATGTCCATCATGTCCTCACATGATGATTGTGAGGACAGCAGCCCCAAACTGCCTAATGGTGTAAAAGATGAAGTGCTGGCCACATGCAGAGCAGACTGAGAGAAGCAGGGCATGGACAGCAAACTTGCTATGTTGTCCCATGAAGAGGTCCCCTCCAGAAGGGCACCCTGCCCTAGCAGTGAGCCTGCTGTGAAAAGGCAGGAGAAGGAATTGACCCTAAACATTGTTTGTACCAGTGACATAAGCAAACAGGGCATCCTGCTGGTTTGAGGTGAAGCTGTCAAAAGCAATGTAGCTTGCCAGGAAGATGAGGCCTGAGAGTGTGGTGGCTGGACAGCTGAGTGGCTCTGGTCTACTGGACAGCAGAAACATGCTGACCCCAATGGAGATGAGGCCAGCTGTCAGGTATTCCCCATGTTCATAGCTGCGTCGAGACACCAGCTTTCCCATCAAGCTGACATGACAGGGATCACCTTGGAGGCCTTGGCCAGCACCTGGGTGGGGAAGCTGAGAAACTTAAGCACCAGCTGCTAAGCACATTTGACAGGCTGGCAAAGGAGTACCAGTACATTGGTGCCCTATGCCGGAGCTGCTTGCAGAGGATGCAGGAGAAGCCAGCCATAATCAGTGCCAGCACTCGGTTCTTTAGCACCAGGATCATTTCAATCTCTTCATCTAGGGAGCAGCATTGCCTAGGGTAGTGTTTCTGAACCTTAGGGAATGTTGCTGTCTATCGCAAATGAGTTTAAATTAGAATTAGGGGTAGGGGAGTTGTATAGATCCTGGAGATAGTTACTGTTTTTATATTTTCCCAGGTAATTTTAATGTGTAGCCAGGATTGAGAAGAATTGGTTTCGTGGTTATGAACATGGATTCTGAAGCCCAGTTGCCTGTATTCAAATCCTGACCTGTTACTTTTTAGCTCTTGTCCTTGGGCAAGTTATTTAGCCTCTAAGAACCTTAGTTTCCTCATCTGGAAAGGCAGATAACAGGAATTCTTATAGGGTTGTTGGGAGGTTCTAACAAAATGACAGTTCTTAGAGTCGTGCCTGGCACACGGTAGGTGCCCAGCAAATATTAGTTATTACCATTAGGTTGTTATTATCTGGCATTCTTCATCTTACAAGCAGTCGTAAGTGACCCAGCGTCTTTGGAGAATGGAGAGATTGGAATAAGCATCTTGACTCTTGTAGCCATACCAGGTGTCAAGTTATTTATTATTCTTAGTATCAGCAACAATAATATGTGGGCAATAGAATACAAACAGTAACTCAATGACAGCAATGTTGGGACACAGACACACACATACAGACATAAACAAAGGCCAATGATAACATTCACATTTCTTAATTAAGTGCTTAGTCTAGCCAGTTACTTTGCTATGTAGTTATCCTTTCAACACCCTGTAAGGGGAAGATATTTATCATTTCCATTTTATGATGAGAAAACTAAGGTGCGG